AGACAAGGAAAGTATAATTTTTTTTGATGATGATGATGATGATGATGATGATGATGAATGACGTCAGGTATCTGTCCAGTTGTGTCAGTTGCTTCATCTACTAAGAAGCCTCTATGGCGGTTCATCTACCAAGAACGGAAAGATGCGTACTTAAACCATCCATACTGATACTCTTTAACCCAGAACTTGTGCGTCGGGTGCGAAGAGTAACAAGAATGATGTCAGATATCTGTCCAATTATGCCAGTTGCTTTATCTACAAGGAAATCTGTATAATAATTTGTCCTCCCAGAACGGAAAGACGCACACTTAAACTGGCCGTGCAGATAAACTTTAACCATGATCTATGCCCGTTGGGCACTGATAGTAATTTTTTCGGTGTTAAAAACCTTATGCTTAAAGGTAATGTAGTATTTTGTGCATCCATATATTCTTCAAGCTTGTGGAATGGAAGAAGGATAAAAATTTGCTTAAAGGAAACTTATAGTAATGTACTTACAGATAAATGTTTATGTAATACGTTTCCTATCCAAAATGGTCTAAAATAATGATATGCTTTATCCCCATTGCTTTTCAACTTTATTTTAGAATATGCCATTAGGAAGATTTAGGGAAACCAAGTGGGACTGAATTTAAATAGGACATATCTGCTGCTGATCTGTGCTGATAAGACAGTATAAAACTACTGGGAGATAACATAGATACAAAAAAGAGGAACACACAAACTCTAATTGATGCTAGTAAGGAAGGGGGTCTGGAAGTAAACGCAGAGAAAACTAAGTGTATATTGCTCTGTCGTGACCAGAATGCAAGGCAAAGGCATAATATAAAGCTAGCTAACAGATCTTTAGAAAATATGACAAAGTTAAGATATTTTGGAACGACAGTAAAAAATCAAAATTTGATTAATGAGGAAATTAACAGGAGATTGGATTCTGGTAATGCTTGCTACCATTCCGTCCAGGATCTTTTTCTTCTCGTCTGCTGTCTAAAACATCAAAATTAGAATATACAAAACGTAATGTTGCCCGTGGCTCTGTATGGGTGTGAAACTTGGTCTCTGACATTAAGGGAGTAACATAGCCAGAGGGTGTTTGAGAACAGGGTGTTGAGGAGAATATTTGGGTCTATTTGTCTATATCCGTCTAAATTTCAACACTTGTTTTACACTTCAATATGTTCTTTAACACTTAACACTACATGTTTTGGCCTCAAAGGGCCATTTTCAGGTGTTTTATTATAGATATTCAATCAAGACCTTGTTAAAACTGCTACACTCTTTCGCTGTTCCAAATCATTTTAAAAACCACACGCTGCAGTCCTCCTTTAATTAAAACGAGATAAAATTCTTTTATAATTTGTTGTTTCACTTCACTCAGGGTGTCGTCACTTCCGTAAAATATATTAAAATGTTTTCCCCGGCAGCTTGTTCCTCACGTTAGGTATCTGTAATTTATAAATTCCTATATTATTGTTGTTTCCTATTTATTATTATTATTATTATTACCACTAGTATTATTATTATGTTGTGTTTGTTTACGTTTTGTACTTACTTGCGTCTGGTTTTCGTTTCCTCCTCAACGTGTGGTGGTGTTCTTACTAGTGCTGATGCGGTGTAATTGTTTTGGTTGTGAGGAGTGGGGAGAAATGGGGGGGTGTATAATGTTTTGTTGTGTAATTTTCTATAGTATAGTAAAAAATATAGGGTTATGTGTTTCAATGTTTGTGTTATTCATATGTAAATCTTTTTTACTAGTTTTGTAAATATGGTATTTCTCCAGCGTATTTAGATGTTTTCCTTTTTTCCCGTTGTTATGGTTTCCATAGTGTCTGTTATTGTGCCGTACCTGTGTCCGGTATTTAATATATAATTTGAATATCCTGAATTACTGTTGTTACTTTTTATGTCGTGAATGTGTTTTTTGTATCTGGTTTTGAAAGTTCTTCCTGTTTGTCCAGTATATTTCAATGGGCAATCTAAACATTTCATTTGGTAGATTCCACTTTTATTATATTTATCTATTTGTGGTTTTAATATTTTTGTATTGTGTTTTGCGTGCGGAAAGCTACTTTTATTTTCGTATCTCGAAAAAGTCTTGTGATTTTTCTTACTTCCTTTCCGCTATACGTAAAGGCTGTCCATTTTGTTTTTTGTTTCTGTGTATTTTGTTTTTATTTCTTCTGGGGGGGTATGTTGCTAGATAATTTTATGTCAAACTCATTATTGTATAATATATTTTGAATTGTGTTCATTTCTATGTATTTTGCTTTATTCGTTATTGGGTATGTACATAATCGATTTATTAAATAGTTTATGCCTGATCGTTTGTGTTCATGTGGGTAGCATGAACTGTTTGGTATTATGTCAGTTTGCGTGGGTTTTCGATATATTGCAAATTCAGTGTTTTTGTCATTTCTGTGCATTACTACATCTAGGAAACTGATAGACTGATGCTCTTCTTTCTCCATGGTAAAATTTATAGTTGGTTGTGCTTTGTTGAACTCATTAAGTGTGTGATCAATATTTGTTTTATTTTGATCATATATTATCAATATGTCATCAACGTATCTAAAATCGGCAATTATTTGGTGCTTTATTAGGATGGAATATATTTGTGTGTGCTCCGTATATTGTATGCATGTTTCTGCCAGTATTGATGATGTTGGTGCTCTCATTGCTAGTCCGTCTGTTTGTTTGAAATATTATTGGTCAAACTGGAAATAGTTTTGTTCAATTATTGTACTTAACATTATCATGATTTCTTTTTGTATATTCGTTTCATTTCATAGTTTTTCTATTGTTTTATTTATTATGTTTTTAATACCCATTTTCGGTATGTTTGTATACATATTCTCGATATCAAACGAACAAAGTTTCATATTCTTGTTTTAATTAAAGGAGGACTGCAACGTGTGGTTTTTAAAATGAATTGGAACAGCGAAACAGCGTAGCAGTTTTAACAAGGTCTTGATTGAATATCTGTAATAAAACACCGGAAGATGGCCCTTTGAGGCCGAAACATGTAGTGTTAAGTGTTAAAGTATATATTGAAGTGTAAAACAAGTGTTGCAATTTAGATGGATATAGACAAATGGACGCTAATGTGAACAATTGCAACGGGATGCTGAAATACAGAGAATATTTGAATAGAAGAGAGATGAGGTGACAGGAGGCTAGAGAAAACTTTCATAATGAGTACTTTCTTAACTTGTACTCTTCGCCAAGTATGATCAAGTCAAGGAGGATGAGATGGGTAGGGAATGTAGCATGTACGGTAAGAAGAGGAATGCATATAGGATATTACTGGGAAAGCCAGATGGAAAGCGACTACTAGGAAGACCTAGAGGTAGGTGGGTGGATAATATTAAAATGAATCTTACATAGATAGGATGGGGTGTTATGGACTGTTTTGATTTGGGTTTTGGTAAGGATTATAGGAGGGCTCTTGTGAACACGGTAATGAACCTCCAGATTCCCTGAAATGTATGGAATCTCTGGAATAGCTGCACTGTTGGTGGGTTTTCAAGAAGGACTCAGCTTCGTGGAGTTTAGTTAGTGGAATGGAAGGAGGGAGGACTGCTAGTTAACGAACAGCACTAATGTCTAAGTGATGATGCTGTGTGAATTGATTTTAATTACGTAATTTTTGTAACAGTTTGATGTGCTGAAAAAAGTATGAAATTAATGAGTAAATAGCCAATTTTATTAAACATGTAGATGCTAAACAATCCTTTGTTTCTGTGTTTCATTTTATTATGCGTCTGAAAGTCTGTCATTTTTGGTTTTAAAGTTCCATTCATGTGAGTTATCGCACGAAAACACATTGTGTGATTTTACCTGGTGTATAATTATAATCCTGTAATTCTTAGAAAACAAAGTAACCGGTACAGTAGGCCGCGCCTTAGCTCAAGCGGTTAGTCACTGGCTTCCCACCGCGGCGGCCCGGGTTCGATCCCGGGTCTGGTCAAGTGGGATTTGTGGTGAACAAAGTAGCGCTGGGGAGGGTTTTCTCCGAGTATTTCGGTTTCCCCTGCCAATTTCTCCATCGTTATAATCACCCGAGGCAGGCTACAATAGGCCAACCAGTGGCCGCCTTGCCGAGTGGACCCAGTTGGACTCCATCCCCCACTAAGCGAATTAAGAAAAACCGGTACAGTAACTACTACAATAAAAAACGGACTTTTTTTCAAGTCGAAGGTATGATATGGTATAAGGTAAAGTTGTCCCTTTGCTTAATTAGTTAAGCATTACGCCATGAAGGCGTATGGGGGAGTGAATATATAGAGACACATTTTTTTGAACTCGACGTTAGCTGGAGGTGAGTGTCAGCTTTAGGCCCCGGCCGCTTTGTCACCGGGGAAAGAGCCCCCGGTACCCACTGGATACGAGGTTGGGTGGACCCCCATAACATGTCTGGACGCCGTGAAAAATAGAAAATTCTTGACCCTATCGGGACTCGAATTCCAGCCCCTCGGTCGTCCAGCCTGTAGTCAGTAGCTATACCGACTACGCTCTCCCCGCTCCTGAGGCTGCATGGACCATTAGAGATGATCGTCTTCGTGCCGTTTCTCTTCGTTTCCATGGGCTACTTTAATAATTGATTCATATATATATGAAAACCAGTTCTATCAGAATTTTCAACAGCTGGCTTAAAACATAAGAGTGCCGTCCTTAACTGAACATCAGGACATGAAGTCATATGGGGGAATCGAAATGTACGTCCACGCATTCCCAGACTTAGCACTACATGGCGGTGAGTGGTCAGCTTTAGGCCTCGACGTCTTTACACCTGAAAAAGAGCTCCAGGTACCCATTATATATGAGGCTGGGTGGGTCCTAGAACAGATCTTGATTCTGTGGAGAAGAGAAAACCAGCTCGTTTCGGGAATAGAACACCGATTCCTCATTCAGCCCATAACATAGTCCTACCGACTGAGCTATCCCTGCTCCCGGTATAAGATTATGGGTGGTTTACTGTAATTATAGTTGTTTGACCACAGAGGTGCTGAACGATGCGGTCTTTGACGAAGACCACGACGAGATGGTGGTGGTAAAGGACATCGAGATGTTCTCCATGTGTGAGCACCATCTTGTACCTTTCTACGGGAAAGTTTCCATCGGCTACCTGCCCACCAAGAAGATACTAGGCCTTAGCAAGCTCGCCAGGTAAGTACTCCTTCCACCCATCCATTTTGTTTGTTTTGGGATTTATTTAATAGCGGTTCTAGTGTGGAGGCAGGTTAGGATACCTCCACCGTAGCCCTGCGGGTCGTGGAAGGCAACGAAAAGAGAACTTCGTGCCTGGTGGTATAATTGGGCCAGCCTGTCACTGGGAGAAATAAAAACAGGGACCTGGTCCTCCAGGTTGGGGGGTTAGACCCAAAGCTAACGACCTTGCTCTAAAAAAAAAATATTGTGAAATAAAAAAGTGAAAATCGAATCAATCTGACAAAATCTTTTCAGAGAAGCTATGGCTCAAAACACGCTGTTTTGCCGACGACGATGATGATGATGATTATTTAATATCAGAGGTCTAATTTGAGGCAATATCTCGAAATTTTCCAGGAGGGTTTGAGGAAAATCACAAAACATAACAGCAAGGGTAGCCAATCCCTGGCTAAAATTTGAAAAAGAGACATCCAGAATACAAAGCTATACTCTCCACCGAGGCGTTTGGAATCAGATCGCCAGTCAAAGTCCCCTCCCCTAGCTAATAACTTAATTGTATCAGAGGCAAGCCTAAATGGTTCATAACAGTGAATGACTGACGAAATAGTGCCCTCAATAAAGATCAAAAATACATATTCAGATCCATATGCAGAGTTTTCTCTATGTAATTTGAATTTTCACCAGTTCAGATTTATCCAAAAATTGTCCTTTGTAACAGAGTAGTTTGATTGTATGTGATATACCTATAAAACACACTGATAATTCCAAATGCTCTTCTAACTGAAACTTAAATATGTGTTTACAGAAAAACTGGCCAAAAATTATCCCCCCACCCCCATGGAATTGTAAGGTTCCTGAGAGATCATTACTAGATATAATCCCAAGAAAGGTAAATGTAGTCCACATCCTCGCACCATACTTTGTAAAATAGGTTATAACATCATCTTCACATCTTCAACCAGGTCTCCTAAGGTATTCTCTTCCCTTCAGATTTTCTGATCAGAATTCTGCGTGTACTATGTCTCTACCATCTCACCCCAACCTACCACTATTCACATGCAGCACTGACTCTAAATTGTAGAGAATCTAAACAGTTCATATTCTTTTTCAGGATCGTGGAGATCTTCAGTAGGAGACTGCAAGGTAAACTAAATTTTAGTCTAAATAGAAGTACTGACTGAAGATCTAAAATAGGCATATTTCATTTGTAGAGGGACAGAGATGATTAAGTATAATTTGAGGTTTTCACAATGGCAGTTATATAGAGTTCTGTTTTCCGGGATATGATGACGTGCAGTCAGCTGAAAGTCAGCCGGTGTTTTTTGGAGAAACATGTTGCCTCCATCCTCAGGACTGAAGAGTGAGCCAAGCAAGAAACCAGCATGAAGCAGACAGCAAGTACACCACGATGTGATATGTTCCTCCCAAACATCGGGTGACTTTCACCGGATTACATCACATTACATTATATCACATAAGACAGAGTACTTCAGAGATGATTGTTGTTAATGTAAAATGACAGGCTTAAAAGAACAAATTGAAATACCATTTTATGTTCAAGACAAAGTCATTGAACTAATTTACTAGATTTATAATTAGTAATAATTTGCTAGATTTCTATAGCATTTATTGCTTACAGTCCAAGAGCGTCTCACCAAACAAATTGCTGTCGCAGTCACCAAGGCAGTTCAGCCAGCAGGTGTCGCTGTAGTTGTTGAGGGTGTGTAAGTATCATACCAGTAACTTGATTCAAATGTCCAGTATCAGTAGCAGTATGTTGTCTCGTTGTTTATTCCAGAGATGGCAATTTTTGTGATCAAGAAATATTTTTGATGACATCTGATTAAAGGCAAGCTCTGTAATTATAAAATGATTAGATATCTGTTAATCAGGTTCACATAATATAATAATAATACTGTATAATAATGTAATATAATAATGGTTGCAGATTGAATTTGAATTTATTTATTTCTGTAAATCCAAGCACAGTTTGACACCATAGGATATGGAAGAAGTCAAGTACAAATACATAATATCTGTACAATAATAGTTTTGCNTTTATTTCTGTAAATCCAAGCACAGTTTGACACCATAGTATATGGAAGAAGTCAAGTACAAATACATAATGTGACATGTTGACCCCTACCTCCCCAGCGGTGCGTGGCGGTGGCGNCTTTTATCATGGCAAGTGGATATATACAGCACAGTCTGCAAATAAGCAAAATGATACAGTAACATACTTGAGTATACACTTTGGCTTAGAATTGATACTAGTACATCTATGGAGTAGAAGGAGTAAGTATGTACATTTTCAATGCTGTTTTAAATTGCTTAATATTGCTAGTTGCTTTTTTGAGACTTTGAGGGAGGCTATTGAAAACTTGGATGCTGAAGGAGTGAACTCCTTTTTGATATAGAGACAGATTTGCTTAATGTTTGTGCAAGTTTAGATTTTGCCTCATAATTATGTTATGAATATCAGAATTTAAATTGTACATGCTTTTTTATCTACTACAAATAACAGGAGTGCAAGTATGTACTGTGAGTGAAAGAGTAATATTTTTAAGGTTGTAAATATGTCTCTGCAAGAATCTCTATTCTTGCTTCCTGTGATAATTCTAATTGCCCTAATTTGATTTGTCTCATTCTGGTCCGTCACACTATCAATTACAAAATAAATAACTTTCAGTCCAGTATGACATACAGGTTTTACAACACTTCAGTCTTTATTCGCCTTACATNACATTATTAATATTATCATCATCATCATCATCATCAGTAATCTGTCAGACGACAGGTCCACAGTCTCTTCCAAAACAGTTTCTCCACTTAATGCGNACACAGTTCGCCCTATGCAGCCACGTCGATGTGTAGATTTACATGTGATGTTTCGTTTAAGCGTATTTGCTGGGTATTCGATTGGGGTTTCCCACTGCACGCAATGTGATGTTCACTTTTCCATAAAATAGCTTCCCTATATATTTAAAATTGTATTACAAATCTTTTGTATGTAAACAATTAGTTATTATGTTAAAAATCGTGAACCAGCATTGGGTCATGTTGTTTTTTCTTCCGGATGGTAGAAGATGTCGATTATTTCTCTTGGTTGTATGTTCTTATTGTTAGTTGTGTAGTTTACGTGCATCAGCTAATCTATTTTGGCAGATAAGTGCGGTGGATTTAAGCTCCATACATAAAGCTCGCAAGCTTTTTTTAGAAATGACAACGTGGGCAAACATAAACCTACAGGACAGAGCATCACCCATCATAGAGCAATTAATTTCATTCCACGATCACACACTAATAATTACCTTAATAATCCTTACGGTAGTGGCCTACACAATAACCACCCTAACTCTCAATAAAAACATCAACATTACTGCTAGACCAAGCTGTTTGGTGAGTTCTTTGGGAGCTAATATTTGGTCAACTGGTCAAGAAACTTTCTGTCTTTTATAGAACCCAAAGGTATTATTCTGTATGAAATTTGGGTTCTCACTGTGGGGAATATTAAAATTTTGTCTTCTGTGATGCAGAGCCATGAGATTTTGTAGATAGGTGCCAATGTTTCAGAAACGCTGCCTCCAACCATCCTGATGATGGAGATCAGGAGTGCAGCACTTTCAGACTGAAACAAAACAAGCCAATTGAGTGCCAAAGCTAACAAATTTTCATGCTCCATCTTCACCTGGGCAGGTCACGTTTATTTTCTTGAACATGGAAAGCATTATAGTGACAAATTTCCTATACAATAAACACAATAAATGGTAGCATATATTGCAGGTTTCTCAAGAAGGGTCAGCAAATAACTATTAAGAGAATCTGACTGACAACCCATCTGTCAAGCTGCACTTATTTCATTTCATGTGTCAACTGATCTGGCATACAGTGTGTTCACACTTTGTTGAATACCACCTCCTTATGGACCAGGTTATAAACTCATCTAACACATATACTTTCAGTGTCAAAATGTGGTCAATCAGGTTCTCAGTAACTTTAACAAATTAGGCATTCTGCTTCCCCCATACTGTCATAAGTGACAACAAGCCTGGTCACAGAACTTCTCCAAGCCCTGTATTGTCTTTAGACTTTTGTATCCACTTAAGTCATTTGTCTTCAGGTAACTACATGTCAACAATTGAGGCCTTTAATCTGTGAAAAATATTCCCTTGTTTCTTACCTTCAGTTGCCATGTCCCTAGTCCAGTACATGATTCCATTCTGAATTTTTTGCAGCATGTGTGTTTGCTCACTCATATATACACCAACTACAGTGCATGCTCATGGAATACAAAACACTCCAAAATGGAAGAACAAATTTCTAGACTGGAAGCAAGTCACAGGAAAACAATAGTTTTCATTTTCATTATGACACATCAATTATGCTTTCAATGTGTCTACCTGCAGTATTAAATTTACAGGTGGTACATAAATTGAACTGAAATATGCTTGTCATATATTGCAAACAGTTAACACTGAAGTCTGTTTCACAGGAAAACAATAGTTTTCATTTTCATTATGACACATCAATTATGCTTTCAATGTGTCTACCTGCAGTATTAAATTTACAGGTGGTACATAAATTGAACTGAAATATGCTTGTCATATATTGCAAACAGTTAACACTGAAGTCTGTTTCAGGCACATGTGCATGGTGATGAGGGGAGTTCAGAAGATTAACAGTAAGACCGTGACTTCCACCATGCTAGGGGTCTTCAGAGATGATCCCAAGACACGTGAAGAGTTCCTGAATCTTGTCCACTCGAAGTAGTTCTCCTTATGCACCCTTCAACTACCGCCATTACCCCCTGAACCTCACAATATGGAGAATCAGAAGCATGTGCGCAGAGGAAAACTGAGAAAGGAATCTTCTTATCCTACAAACCTACAAATTATTATCTACTAGATTATGATGTTAGCTGTGTAAAATTAAGCAAAAATTGCATAGTATTTTCCCACTCTTTCCTTGAAGATTGAAATCACTTTGTTATGTTATCAGAATAGCGACAAACAGAAAACTTCTTTTGGGTTGAATTCAAGATTTTACACTTTAAGCAAGTTATCATATCCTTAAATCTCATAAATAGTTTTGGATTTGTGTGGAATTTCTACCCTGTCAAATCATGCTAGAGAATACAGAAACTGCAGTAATATTGAAATATTTTGAACCTGTTTTTCCTCTGAAGCAAATGCAGATGTTTGTGCAAGGTGATATTAATGTTACTTGTGTGATCAGAAACAAAACAGTATTGCTTCACAGAGCCACTGCCCCAGAATCTCTCCCTCTCTAAGAGACCTCCATTCAAGAGCATGAGAAAATATGCAAGAACTTCCATTAAAATAAGTTCATATTTATTAATTATGTTTCTCTGAAATTTCGAATATGTATTAAAATTCAGAGTAACATTTTAAGGTAAATTTATGAACTCTTACTAAAATATTATAACTGCATATGGAATGGGAATATAAGTTTAATCGTGTATATAAGTTTAAGACAGTTCACAGTCCACTGTCTATCTCTTTGTTTTTACTACAAGTACTTAAATGGTCAATATTGGTCTCGAAATAAACTTGATTTTGGTTGGCACTTAACATTACAGACTGTTCCATAATAAGAGACATAAAGAATCAAATTTTTCATACTTCTTTCACAGTATAAAAAGAAAGCCCATTAGTTGACGGTGTGCTAAAAATATTTAACAAATACAACACTTTTAAATTCTTTAAAATAAACATTCTTGCTCTAAAATAATGTCATAGTCTTTTTATTTATATCATATTTTATCTCCGAACACTGAAATCCAAAAAAAAAAATGGAAGGAAATTACTGTACTCACTGTGAAGGAGTGGGTGAGGTATGTAAAAGAATTTGGTTGTGGTACAAGAAATTTTGCAATTGGAATGTTGTGTGTCAGCTGTTTTTATTTTGTCACATGTGCAGTAGAGATGAGGACACTTTGACATTTTGACGGAAAGGAACACGAAAGAGTGGTTTCTAGAATTCTGTTTTTATTTATGTATGATTGTATGTGTGCCTTGCTAGCACCTGAGTGGCTGGACAGTTTCTTTTCATATTTAGTATTTAAAAGTTCATCCATGATAGATCAGTGCCCAGTGAATATGGACATTCTAATTCCAAAAATTTAGGCCCTTCAAATGGGTCCCAAGAACCAAATTGCGATTTCATAAGCATACCTCTTATGATTTTGATTAAATTTTACAGATTTTTCAGAATCATTTCTGAATAAATATTCATAGGTTGTATCTCCATGCACTCCAAATAGTGCCAAGGTCAGGAAAATGTGGGTTTATATACCTACTCCCCCCATACGCCTTCATGGTGTAGTGCCTAGTTAGCTAAGCACAGGGACAACTTTACCTTTTTAACTTAGATGGTATCCCCATGAAGATAATGATACACCCTCTAATAGCTAAAGTGAGAAATATCAATTTTGTCAAAAACGCCTTGAATGGTTGGGTGGATTTTATTTATGTTTCATATTTAGGAGTTTGTCCACCATAGGTCAGTGTCTGGCAAATGTAAGTATGAACATTCTACTTCAAAATGTAGAAGTCCCTCACATGAAATCTCAAACAAAAAATTTGATTTTCTCTATAATAGATCTAATAACCTTGATTAAATTTCAGTTATCTATGGAGATCGCCTCCTTAAATAAAACTGCATAATTGGGTTCTTCAGGAAGACAACGGTATGCCCGTTGAAGCTCAAACATTTATAGGAGAAAGTATGTGGAATGTCTTTCACTCATCTATTTTCTTAACATTATTGTGAGCTTGGAAAAGCCATAATTCCTATTGGTATCAAAAACTGCCACTGTGCTACATCCCCAGCATTATGTTTATTTTTTTATTTGATGATAATTCACCAATATTTCGTTAAAGGCCTGATGTACTCGTACTTTGTTTTAAAATTGTGAAATATGATCAGTAATCCAGTCTTCTGTCACCAGTTGAATAATTTCATAATTTTAATCAGAATAATTAATTGCAAGATTTAATTTCTTGTACTCTGCAAAAGGAATGTCAATTGCTTGCTTGTTTTCTTGCTTGTTTGCATAGGTAACATGAGTATATAATTAACACAGAAAGAAGAAGAAACTTCACTCAAAATGGTAGTAGGTATTATTTCAGAAACGAATATTTTTCATTTGTATGAATAGAAGTCATAGTAAATAATGTTACTCTGAATGCAGAATTAATACCAGGAAATTATATTTAAAAAGAAAATTAAATACAATTATCATATTTAATAAAAGTAATAAGAATTACCATATATGTTGCTGTAATTGAATAATGGACTAGCTTTAATTTATGAGTGTTTGAGAAAATAAGATTTAATGTAACTAAAAGAAAGTACAAACGTTCCCAAAGGGAGTAATGTGTTCATTCTTGGGAAGAACTATGTAATGAAGGTATAAAGTCGGTGATAATGTTAATGCAAAAAACCCGTTTAGTAAATTATTTTAAAAGCATATTTTTTGGGATGGGGGAATAATGTCATCCATACTTGTTCTAGATTAAGGTACAGATTAATAAGAGACTTGATTTGGGGAATTTTTATACTTTTTCACAATATTTTATCACAAAATTTCATGTTAAACAATTTTTAAACTTCTTGTGAGACCTTTAAATATTTTACCCTTTTTCAGTATAAAGGCAAGGAACAATCTATTATCTTCAGATATTTTAAAGTGAAGTGTTCTCCGATAATCTTGAGGTAAAGGAAACCGCTTTTCATTGTTCAAGACTGACTACTTTTTTGTGTATGATTGGTAATTTACTACAACGATGTTCATGTGCCTGTAGGGCTTGACCTACAGGTTACAGTTTAGGTAACAAGGAATATTATTATGGACGTGATACTTTTTAATATAAAGATATCTTTAGTCAGAACCACAATCTTACTGAATTTGTTTGTTTTTCTTTAATTGCTTTTATGGTATTAAAGGGAAAGAATGGTGGTTATTATTTTTATAAGAGTTTAAAGTATACTGTATTCCTTACATTGCATGCAAACATTGGAGAAGTAAAGTTGGCAGTTGAAAGTGTTTTTAAACAAACATCAAGTTTGTAGATTTAACAAAGGGAACAGCAGATTAGCTGCTGATGCAGGACTCTGGATCCATTTTTTGAAAGGTAACATAATTGAATATCAAACATACAATCATAAGACAAAAAATATCATTTCACTAAGTATCTGCCATTTATTAATCCAAGTGCTTTGCACCCCATTAATGAAGTGCTGAAATTTGTGAATAATCACTTACTGACATTTTTCTTCATATCATGGTAGATATGAAGTAAGCTGTAACCAAAATCTGTGTAATGTATAATTATCATGATCCCATGCAGCAGTACAGTTATGTAAAAAATTATGTCTTTGAAGTCAACAGCAAATGACTAGAAACATTTGTATCATAAAAATGTGATCATGTTATTGAGAGTAACCTAACAGAATAGGTTTTCGTTTTAGGTCATAGTCTATGATCTTATATAGGATGACTGTAAAATACAAGATTAGCATATTATACACATCATAAATAAATTATTGCCACGCACTTTCACGGTAAGCAGAATGGATGCAAACACTTTAGAATTTCAGTTTTAAGAGAATTACTAATGAAAACAGTTCATCAGTTAATTAATTTATTCAAAATGGTGAAATTAACATGAGCATTAGTACATAGGATGTAATTTATTTGAGAGAATGGGTACAACTGTGTCATTCTGACTGATATGATTACTTGATTGTAACCAAGAGGACCAATGATGTTTATAATTATATTATAATGTGAAATGGTTCATACAGAACATGGATATGTTTACAACACCACAACTTATTTTGTTATGATTTATAAATGAAACAAAGAATTATATCTTTTATGTCAGTAAATAGTCTTCTTTATTGTCTAAGGCATGCAACCTTACTGTTTCAAAAGTACTTTGAATAATCAGGTCTGGCCAGTTGGGATCCCTTGCTCAAAGTTATTTATATTAATATTAAACATGGTACATACTTTTGAAGATAAAATGTCCACATCAGCTTTAGATGTTACCCAGCTTCCTGTCCAGTGGTCCGTATGGTTCTTTCCTGGGAGGTAAAGTGGTCAGAGGTAGTAATGTGTGGAAATTTACATTCACTCTGTCATATGTCATCATAGCATAGTACTCGCATATGAAGACAGCATTACCTTGGCAGTCAACTACTCCTACATTGTTGGCCAGAAACTTCCAGAAACCTTTGGCATTTTACGCAGCGTATTACCAAGAGCCAAAGTTACACATTGAGATCTAGCCGTACGAACCTAAGGACTAGTACCCCGATTTTGCCGGTTACGAAAAGTGCAATCATTGTTACAATCTACCGCTTCGAAACCATGATTCATAAATGTGCCTGATACTAGCGCATGTTGTCATTGCATCAAAAGATGGTGCTAGCAGGCTAATTGAGCAAAGGCTTGGAGAACTGTTAAAGTTTCCCGCTAGAGTGTGTGGTAATGATAACCAAAACAGTAAGCAGGGCTCGATTATATAATTTTCGATTACACCACGATTGGTTTGTATATTTTTTGGAGCAGTTTCGCATCTCACACTTGTTCTGCAAGGTTTATGGAAGTAATGCTGTTGATATGATGTTAATTTATGAGGAGTGAGGAAGAATGGGGTTCCGTAAGAGACGAAGTTGTATTGCCTACGTCGTCGGCAATACAGCCCGTTTTTTAACCATAAACTTTCTTAGAACTTTCTGCTAGATTCATGAGGATTTCACTTCCTTGAATTTCGCAGCCTTGCAGCTAACCTCCAACCAGGAGGACCAGGTCTCTGCATTTATTTCTCCCAGTGACAGGATGGCCCAGTTATACCCCCAGGTACCGGGTTCCCTTTTCGTCGCCTTCTACAACCAGCAGGGCTACGGTGGAAATATTCAAACCCGCCTCCATACGGGAACCACATTTTTCTAGTGCAACAAATTACTGATAAAAAGAACTTACTTTAATTTGCCGAAATTCATGTTATTCATAGAATTTAAAAGTGTATATGATAGGATTCCTCCATGTCGTCCAGACCGGCTCTGCAGTCCACCCAACTTCCTATCCAATGGTTACCGGGGGCTCTTCCCCCGGGGTTAAGCGGCAGGGCGTGAAGCTGACCACTCACCTCCAGCTAGTGCCGAGGCCAAGAAAATGTGGATCTATACATCCACCCCCCACACGTCTTCATGCCGTAGTGCTTAGTTAAGCACAGGGACAACTTTACCATTTTTTACCTTATATGACAGGATCCACTACCAATTTTATAGGAATTGTAGGGTTTCATAAAATACGTCTCAAATTAATAATGCTATGAAGCTTTTATAAAAGACGTCGAAGTCATATTAAATGTGAATCGAAACAACGACGGGGATTAGACAAAGGAGGGGGTGTCTCCGTTGTTATTTAATTCGTATATTAACAAAGTAATAGAAGCCCGTAAGACGGGCATTAAAGGGATTGATATCTCACGAAATAATATAGTTTCAATGTTTCTATGCCTTGGTCAGGTCATCTTTCGCGGGTCTGAATAACAGGGCACAGTCTTCAGAGCGCTAGAAATTGAATACATATATAGTGAAGATTACATAAAATGATAGCAAAATCAAGGTACATGTTTCGAGCAGAAATCTAAACGCTGAGAAAGGGCATGGAAAGTGTGGAAGTTAACTACTGAAATTCCTTAGGCATTGTGTGGTTACTTCAAGGAGATACCTTTTACAAAAGCCGGTGCAAAGATATTGCACATGGTTTTTTCATATAGGTTTGCCAGATCAAGGCCTTCTACTGTCTTAAAAGAATCCGTTACGTTTAGATATTTTGGCCCACAAAATATTATTTATGTATAGATGATTAAATTGTAATCAAAATCAGTCAAGCCGTTTCAATGAAATTGCCATTTTGCGCTTGAGCCGCTAGAGGGCGTACGGTTATTTTACTGAGGATTTAATCTGTACAGCTTTGTTTGTGTAGATAGACGTATTCCAATAATTACTGCCATATAATCAAAATCATTAGATCCATTTTCAGAAAATCGGAATTTTATGTTTGATGGACTCTATGAGGGGTCCATACTTTTGCAGCTAGAACATACATATTGTTCGGGCACCGGCCTATGATCGAAAAATTCTTTAGCTGCCAAATATGAACAAAATCCATCTAGATTATAAAGGGTTTTGACGATGGTGGATGACACACAGAATTACTGGGGTTTTGGACTTTTTCTATCGTCCGGAATTTTAGGTAATAGAGGACACGGCCTTTCGGAAACTGGATCTGTTCCTTTCTTACCTGAAGACGGAAACAGATCCAGTTTCCGAAAGGTCATGCCCTCTATTAACTAAACTTCCGGACGATAGAAAAAGTCCAGAACCCCAGTAATTCTGTGTGAAAACCCATCTAACGGTTGGGGTGCTACCAAGGCGCACATACATAGAGACGTACAGAGGCAAAGGGATTCCAAAAACAGCCTTTTCATGTCTACTAGTGCTGAAAACGTATGAATCCGTCAAAATTTCGAGATCAGTTTCTTTAAAGACCACGATATTTTGTCACAAGTTCTGCGTATATAAAAAGCCAAAGGATTTAGAAATAGAGCTTTAGTATCCATGCGAATGCGCCTGGAAGGGCGCCTTTAAATCCTCAAATAACGTTGCGCCCTGTCAGTGTCCATTTACAAGCAGAGGGTCAGCCACGCCTTGAAATAGTTTGTGGGAACACAATGATGGCGGAGGGATTCAGAATTTGTATCCAGGAAATGAATGACGAATTGTGGGGATTTCCCATAGTCTATCACCTCAGAGGATTCTGCGGCCAGCCCAGAACTTGACAGAAATGAACTGGAATGAGAATTGCAAGAAAGCTTAATCGGACCTGCTNTACACGGTGCCAAATCCCAAAAGACTGCTTTCTTCATAGTCACCGCCGTGAAAGCCTCAAATCTTACAATAATAACTCATGTCCAAAACTTAGTGGACCAGGCTTATCACACGCATGAGGTAACAGCACAACATTAGAATTACGATTTTATGGTACGACGCCTCGTAGCATTATAAATGGGCACCAGCATGTTCTGAGAAAAAAGCAACATATATTTTCAGGACAGAAATGGCATAAGCTTATTTACCGCATAGAGAAACTCAAATTTGACAGTATTATAAAATCTCTAAAACTGCGGT